CTAACTCTGAGAACTCTCATATTGGTCACCTAGAGGAGTTGACCCATCAGTAGTGGTGGCATTTTGAGTAGTAGTATTATTTTCAGTAGTAGTGTTTTGAGTAGTGTTCTCAGTTGGAACTGGAAGCTCCAAATCAATAATCTCACCGATCTTTATGTTACCTCCATCCATTGTATCCTCTTTCTCAATCTCACCAAGCAACATATTAATATCAATAATATCATCCATCGTTGGAGTCAATGAGGAATCTTGAAAAGACATGGAAAAAATAAAATCAATCAAACAATAATGTAATATGAAATAAGAACAAAACTCAGCAATATAAGCCCTACTCTTTATTAAGAACATAAGACAAACACTTATTTAAAACCCTAGCCAAACCTTTATTAAGAACAAAACTCAGCAACAGAAGTGTAAATCTCTTTATTATTGTTAATCAAATGGGAAACACAAAACTCAGATCAAAATTGTAACATGCATTTACAAAATCTGAACCCAAAATGAAAACATATTTAGGTGAGAACATGTAACATAACATTTTAGGTCAAAATATAGGTCAAAATTGAAACAAGGTAAAGAACGATTCATCAAATCAAACATGCAAACACGGTAAAGATAAAGAATAATATAATAACAATAAAAACAAGATAGGTTGAATACATTACAAGATAGAAGCCTTGAACGATTCACTCTAAGTCTCTAATAGATAATATCACAACACTCATGAATCACGATTCAAGAACACATATAATCAATAACACTCAAAAATCTAAAGTATTTGCCTTGATCGGAAAGAGGGAGTGGAAGAGGAGATTGTCAGAGGCAGAGAAGAAAGGAGAGACATGGAGAGAACGACTGAAGGAGGGAGAAAAGTGAGGAAATGAAACAAAAACATGATTTATATTATCGTATTCGGTTACTTATTGGATACTTGGGCTAGTTCTTCAACTGGGAATCAGATTAAAAATCTATCCATTCCCAAACCATGCCATGTTTCGGTCGGTCCAATGAGCCTATTCTACCCGTCCAGTTCTCGGGTGGATCTCGAGTATTTGAGACCCAAAAAATCCCTACCTATGATAATCTACTATAGATTCATATGCTCCCATAATAATATCCTTTTTTATTCATGAGCTTCTTTTTTGGTATTCATTACAGGCTCTTTATAAAAGTCGTGTTGATTCATAATATTAGAGGCTCTTTATCAAAGTAGTGTTAATTTGGCAATTTCTTTTCCCACTATTATACCGTCTCACAAACCCTTGGTGAAAATTTAAAAATGTATTAAGATTTTAGAGATGCATCTCTGAACGCACTTATTTTCTACAAAATTGAACGCAAACGAGTGAGTCACCTTATTATAATTAACTACGAAGATGTATATCTGAATAAACCCTATTCTTTTTATGAAAAATTATGTTTTCGGATATGCATATCTTTAAGTGCCCGTTATGTTTTTTAAAATTAACATTGTGTGTATCCGCATATGTAGACCTTGTATTCATGCATCAGTAATGCAACAAATATGTATATACCAATATAGTCCATATTGAGAAAAATAATTGAAAAATAGAAAAATGATTAAAATAAAATTATAAAAATCTAAATATACAAATAAAAATTAAATCAAATCAAATTACGAGTCTATAAAATTTTTCAGATTTTTTCAAAAATAGGAAAATAAAAAATAAATCAAATAAAATAAAATAAAACAAGGAATTTAGGGTTTTAAGGTCGTGTCACTACTACAAAAAACACATCTAACGTCAGACGCGAAATGTGTTTGATGTCAGACGCGAAATCGACGTAAGTAAGAGTGTCATTAAAGGTTATCCCTTATCACCTTGGGTATTAAAACGCTGAGGGGTTATGTTAACTGTACATGGGATTTGATTCCCATCCTCGACATTTTTATTATTTTCATTACCTAATGGTGCGCCAATTATTAATACTCGATTTTTTTGAGGAACCGAGATAATATATCAATATTATTACTTTAGTTTGTTTAGGAAACCAAGGGGTTATAATTTTTTTACTGTCTGTTGTACCCCAAAATTTGCTCTTCCATTTTCAAAGACAAATTTATTCAAGGTGCTCAAGTACTCAAGACTACTCAAGAATTGATCAGATGAACCCTCCTCCTAAGCAATGGCCTACAACTAGGGTTTTCTGTTTCTCAAGGAATTTTGGGTTTCTAAGGCCTCAAGTGGATTTCATGGTCTCTTATATGTCTCTAAGAATGCTCATACCAAGTTTCATGCTTTGCATCACAAGTTTGCTCGGTCAATGGCTCAGATGACTGAAAATCAACTATATTGGGCAAAAAGTCAACTATGGTCAACATACAGTCAAACTTCAAGATTTTTGGTAAACATCAAGATTTTGAAGTCATATTCATCATTTGATCAAGGGTTGGTCGTGATTCATCTAGGAAAACTCTCAAATCATCAAAAGTCAAAAGTTGCCAAATTAGGGTTTTCTTTAGAGGAAGTCAACTGAACTTTGACAAAGCATAACTTTCACATGCTTCATCAGATTTTCCTCAACCAAAGCTAATTTCTAATAAAATTCAATTCTCTACATCTTTTTTACTCTAAGCTCAAGTCCAAAAAAATGCTTCATTTGAGAGATATGGGCCAATACATTATAGGTCATTTCAAAAGTCAACAAAAAGACACTTTTTATCAAGGAAAATTACATCAATATAAAGTTTTCAAATTCAAAAATGATAAAAATATGGCTTGTAGAGGACATCTTGATATTTCCAAAAAGTTTAAGATCACCTTCAAATGACAAAAATTGAAAGAGTTATGACTAGTGCAAGTTGGAAAATTTTGAGCAAATGCATGAAGTTCAAATAAAGCAAACTTGAATTTTTTGGGCTAGTGGGCTATTTTTTCAAAGTCCAAATGTGATTTGCAGCTTATAGTGAAACTCAAGACTTGTTCATACACCTCCCTTTGGTTTGTTATATTTATTCTTGATTTTTATTATTTAAAAAGTCAAAAGAAATAAAATAAAAACAAGGCTTATTACACAAGTCCAAGCCCATGATCCTTTGACCTAAATTCAAACTATACATTCTCATTCAATTCAGAAATGAAGACCACGAAACCTTGCAGCAACATCACCTTCCAAAAATCACAAAAATTATTCATACTAGGGAAACCTTACAACCCTAGTTACAACCAACTTCAAGACCTGCTAACCAGTCCATTCACTTCCAGGGATGCAAGAAGGTAAGGTTGGATCGATTGCCATGATCAAAAAGGCATAAAAATGTACATACATGTTGCATCGGTTTTGATATTTCATGAATTTCATATATTTGTTTTCCTTGCGTCTTAATATGTACTAACTCATTTAACATGTTCCTAAGGTTCAACAATGCAGGAATGACTTATAATGAGAGCCCCATAATGGTTGGATAGTGTAAAGCCATGTTAGCACCGATCCATGCAATTTTTCCTAAACCCTTGCGACTCAGGCCAAGATGATAGTCCCATTGAATCTGCAGACCCTGATTTAGGAAGGTAGGGTCCCCCTGGATTTCCAATATTTGTTGTTTCGTAGGAACATAAAAAGAAGCTACCAGAGAAGACAACCGGAGTTAGGGCTTCGACGCCTCTCCGGTCCATGCATTTTGTTTAATATTTATTTAAATTGTTTCATCAAAAACATTGGATGTATCACCACCCCAGTGGTTAAACGCACGTGCTAAAGACTTTACTATGCAATGGCACGAGTTCGATCCCTGCTTTTGGCACTTTGAGTTTTTCATAATTATGTTTTGCAGGATGATAAAAAAGCGCACTTGCTTCCATTATTTGACATAGGCGCGCCCTGGCCTAGTGGTGAAGGTCTTGGTGGAAAGAGCAAAGGGTGTGGGTTCAACACCCACCCCTGGCACTATTCTTTTAAAACTTTGTTTTCTTCATATTTTCCTTAACTTTTGCATTTCCAAACCCTAAATTCATCAAACCAAAAACCTTTTAACAAACCTAATTTTTTCAAAACCTTTTTACAAACCCTAATAAAAATTAGGGTTAGGATTTTAATTTTAATTAATAAATTTCTTTTTAAATTAAAATTAATTAGGTTTTTAGGTTGATCATTAAAACTTTTTTTATCAAAAATCACCAAAAACACGTTCGCTTTATTTTTCCTATTTTTACATGTTCGGTAGTTTATTCGTCTCGCATTTTTTTCATTATTATTGTAAGTGCTCACAGTTTGTAATAGTAATTAGGGTTTTACTTTCGCACTCTACTATTTTGTAACTGCCCCGAAGCATTGTAATAGTCTAGGTTTTTTTTCTTTCCGCACTTACTTTCTGTACATTTACTGCTTTACTGTTTTACTATATCCCTGTTAGTAATTAGGTCATGTATGACAAGATAAAAAAACGATAACTAACCCTAATCAAAGATTAAAATAACTTAATCACAAATCACTTGCACACTTGCACCTCTAGGGTAACCTCCCTTGTTGCTTTATAATAAACAATCATGTCCCTCGAACTTGGGGACGCTTTAGAAAAGTCCCTCAAAAACAAAGATAATATTCCCTCGATGACCCTTTCGATGTTGCCTTTCAATATATGATCTAGTCCCTTAACGAAAATTACTAAGCCGTCCTTACTAGTTGCCTTCAATGACTGTATAATGACCCACACATGTCCCTTCACATCCAATGATATGGATTCCTACTAACTAATAACATTATCTAAAGGAGGAGGAAAATAAAAGAATGACCTTGAGTAGGGTAGATCTTAATCGTTTGCTCACACACATTTTAAAACAAAAACACTTTTCGCAAACACTCTTCAAAAATATTTTCAAACACTTTGTACGCATTCTCAAGGACATATGCGAGAATCATTACAAAGTTCGCCTTACAATTGGCATTTTCAAAAATATTTTCAAACACACAACACAAAGAAATTTTTCAAAACAAAGTGAGCTAGCGATTAAGAGCCCGTAGATGACTATGGATGAAAAGTGTGTTAACACCTTCCCTTTTCATAATCTACCCCCCGAACTCAAAATCTTCAAGGTATTTCCTGTTCTTTTCACCCTTTCGTTGTTGGATAAAAGAAAATTCGGTGGCGACTCTTGCTATCTGTAACATTTGCGATAAAACACAAAAATAAATCAGCTCTCCCACCGTATTACAGAACTGGCGACTCTTTTGGAGAATACTAAAAAGAGGGGTTACCTTTATAGTTAGATCACTTTTAAATGCTTTTCTTGTTTTCTTTG